GTCTCTAAAACTTTCGTAAGATTGACTACAGAGCTTCTATGTGCTACGTGCACACTACACAATGATGTAGTTTGATATAAAGACTTCGTTGTCACTAGTTTAGGATGACCTGTATAACTCGCTGTTGGATTCCCCAGCCCTACGAAATGCAATCATGTGAAACGCCTACTGATAAAATCTTTATAATACACCAAACCATCATGTATGTACCCACTCAGACTGTACATGTTTATGTGAATATTTTATATAAATGAGTGTGTGTACACAAACAACATACACAAGGGTGTACAGCTTTTGAGATATCACACTTCATGTGATAGGGGAGGGATAGCTCAGTGGTTTGAGCATTGGCCTGCTAAACCCAGGGTTGTGAGTTCAATCCTTGAGGGGGCCATTTAGGGATTTGGGGGTTTAGTTGGGAATTGGTCCTGCTTTGAGCAGCGGGTTGGACTAGATGACCTCCTGAGGTCCTTTCCAACCCTAATAATCTATGATTCTATGTGTGTAGTGAAGCACATATATATTAAAAAAAAAAAAAAATTTAAGAAAATCCCTATTTAGGTATCTAAATTAATGGCCTGTGTTTCAGATGTGTGGGGTTTCACTACCAGGACTGATGTCTGAGTCTGGCTCTGTCACAGACTACCTGTATGACCCTTGTGCCTCTTTTTCCATATTCAGTAATTTGGGGGTAATTATACTTACCTCAGGTAGCAGTTGTAAAGCTGAATTCTTCTATGTTTGTGTTCCCCTTGAGAACCTCATGGGAAACTCTACGGATGTGCCAAATACCATTAACTTTTATTTTAGGGAGAGACAAGCTCACAATATTTTCATAAATAAAGTTAATATATTTACAATAGTTAGAAAAATCCTATTTTATATATAGACAGATCATGATATACAGTATTTTTATTATTTCCTCAGTTGTGAACTGTTGATTTAAGTGAATTTTCATACTTCAATATGAAATCTTTATTGTGACAGCAATAGGTTTTCGAAAAGGCACTTAGACACGTAACTTACTCCAATTCCCTCCCATTGTGGTTTTGAAAATCATTTTACAGTTCCCACTTATTCATGAGCTTAACTTTTCTGGGAAAAGCCTAAGTACAGTTTATGAGTCGTCAAAGCAAAACCTGTGGAAGATCTTGTTTACACTAGGGATATTTTTTTTAAACATCCATCATTGGTAGTGGCAGTAGGAGCTCCGTGACTTCTGCTTTCCAATGTACATAATGCTGAAAACATTCTCTGCAGCCAGCAAGCTGTCTACCCTAGAGCTTCTAAGCTTGCTGAGACCAGTTCACTTGAGTGAGTGCTAGCAGTTGTGGGAGTTTTTTCCAAAATGTTCCTAGTGTAGACAAAGGCCAAGAAATTACCTTTATTAGGCAAACTCTCCTCTTAAGAGACTGTTCCACAATATCCCCAAGTGTAATGAGTACAGTTCTCATCCACTGTATTCGATCACCTCTGATAAGTAGCAATGTTTGTCAATGCCCTGAATTGTTGCCTAAGATGGTCACATACTGTGTTTTAGGGTTAACAATAAATTTTTATTTCGGTGATTAATAGATGACTTGTCACAATTATTAGATTAATCTTTAGTAATAGGTTGGTACTTAAGAGTTGCTTCCTTTTTTCTCCCTTCCCCTTCTCTGGCAAGTTGGGATAGGGAACTATTGTTAAATTTTAACCAGTGAACAAAGATTAAAAAGTATAGGGTGAAATCCTGACTCTGTTGTAGTCATTTTGAGTTTTGCCACTGACTACGGTGGGGCCAGGATTTCACACGTCCGGTGTTTAACATGCCGACAAATGGGAGTTATTAAACAAAAACTGGGTATCACAGAGTAAGAATTCAGGCGTGTAGAGACCATTTATTCAGAGAACTCCAGTTACTAGCAAGTAATGTAATGTGATGATAATTTTGGGGGAAAATAGGGAAGCATCTGTGCAATATTGTATGTAATGTAATTAAATATGAATGCGGTGACAGGGCACTTACCTCAGTTCCCTCAATTCCTATAGTCCATCTCCTCTAGAAATTTGTGATCTATGACATGTTTCCCTTAGCCTCTGATTTTTCTCATATTATAGTCTTTCTTCAGATGATGTCCACTTCTATAGTTTTTGTGTCATTCTCTGTTGCTTGTTTATCTGCAGTGCATGGCACCATCAGCTCCGTATCCTCTACTCAATTGTCAGAATATTTTGTAAAAATAAGAAGAGTCTATTGAAATTACCAGTTAATTGTTGTTCATGCTTTGACCTGACATTATATTGTAGTCAGGGTTCAATACCCTGAAATGTGGAACACTTCCTTTGAGGTGCAGAGACCCCTCAACACCCGTAGAACTTCTGAAGGACTTGAGTGTGCTGTACCCTTCATAGGATGTGCTCAGTGCCTCGAAGGAAAGGACCCAATATTAGAAAGAAGAAATAAAGATCTCCTTCTACTGAGATAAACTACATAGTGGTAGGAACCCCATGCTGGTTTATGAAGCATTAATACAGTTTTCAAGCAGTTTATCTTGTGAGGGAGTTGGGTTATTGCTGAAAAACAGTATGGTGTTCTTGTTCTTGTTCTTGCTGGTATAGATTAAATCTCCATTTTTATGAATAAAAACTTCAAAATTAAAAAAAGAGAGATAAGAGGGGAGGAGGGATGGAGTAGCACTGGTAGTGTAACCAAAGTCTTAATATGTTTAGGAGAACAGGGCGATCAAGGGGGATCCACTTGTGCAGTAAAATAGCTGTTCAATTATTCACTTCATATTATAAGTCATAATCAAAACAAAGTACAAGGAAGTACATTTAGTTGCTAATGAAACTTATATTTCCTTGCAAGTATGCAATAATTATTATTATTTATTAAAGGGTATTAGGTAGATCTGAGAACTTCCTACAGTTTTAAGCTTTTTTAAAAATAAATAAAAATCAGAATTACAGGGAGTTTATTTGCTCTTGGAAGTTTTTGGCAACAAAATTGCTTTTTATAAAATGTGACTCTCCTCACACCCACATTGTTTCTATATCTGAAACTGTATTATTGCTCCAAGACACCCCTACTGTACATACGAGGGACAATTCTTTCTAAAAAAAATGTTTAAAGGATCTTACAGGCATAATATAAATATAGTAAATCAAGAAATGTGTGGTTTTGGGGGGAAAAACTGACTTCATTATAGTTACCATTTTAGTACAATCACAAATGGGGATGTGGCCATCTATTCCTGTGGCTTGCTGGGAGAAGTGGAAAAAACAAAACTAAAAAAGCTAAATTAATTGGCTGTCTGAGAAATCTAGAAGTAATAAAGGAAAACAGATATGTGAATAGACATATAAAGGTCTCTCTTGCAATTGTAATTTCTCATCAGGTGTCAGTTATGTATTTGCATAACTTTTAAAATGTAAAATAACTTCATTTTTCTAAAATTCAGACAAACACTGGATAGTAATAAATTTTAGGAAGTAAGAACAACTGTATCATTTAAAGAGACTAAGGGCACAGATAGTCACAGAGTTTGAAAAGAAAATAGCATGTACACAAACTTTTGACACAAGGCTGACTTAAAGCACTTTGTATAATGATTCCAAGTCAAGTACACATAATATATGCTTAATGTTTTTTTAAACTCCTTCTGGGATTGCACCCATGGGTTAATGAGCTCTTTATTTTTACTAAAAGATGCAGACACATTTAAAATATTAAAATCTCTCTTTTGCTTGTGCCTTTTCTGATAATGAAACGCACCCCAGGATATATCAGAGCGCTCCAGAGTTGAAAACAGATTTTAATTTTAAATTCATAATACACTGATCAGCAATTTGCAAGAATGGTTTTGAAACGGAACAAAAATAAAACAAAACAAAAATCACGAAACAGCTAACGTTGATGCAGAATGCATGTTTCCAGAATTGAATGCTATAGCTTTAAGATCAGGTGCCTGGGCGCTTTCCTTACACAAACAAGATCGATTTTGAGCAGACTCCTACTGTTAGCTTTTTTGAAGAAGGATTCTCACGCTGAAAATAACCCAACATATTCTTGATAACGGCGTTTTTTTCTCTCCCTGAAATCCACCAAAACTGAAGAAAAATCCAAGTGACTGTTCTTAGCAGCTGTGTGGCCTGGAGTTCACTAGGGAAGCTGGCTTCCTGCAGTCCCCTATTCATCACCTGCTTCAAAGGCAGCCTAGCTGGCTATAGTTTGCAGGCCAGGTAGGGTGCCATTGTGCACAGTCTGGGAGGATTAGTATCAAAGCTGCGGCAACCAGGCCCTTGGTCTCGGGCTGCCATTCAGTCTAGCAGGGAGAGGCTAAGACTGGCCAAGGTCACAGTATCCAGTGTGGTGTGGACTGGGAAAGGATCCTGAGAATAGAATGCTCTTTATGAAATCATGGTGCAAGCCCGCAGCACAGCAGGTCCCCTTCTGGAACACATACATCTGTTTATGTTGGTATACCGTAGCTGACAACGAGATAATAGAGCTTTGCTTTTTTATCATTGTTTTAAAAAGACAACTGTATATACAATAACCCAGATGATTATTGAAGTAAGAGCTTTGATTCTGGAAATCATAAAGAAATCTTTAAAAGATTTAATTGCTGCTTTTTGTGTGTGTGTGTGTATACTTAAATGAAGAGGAGAGCAGACTGATTTAACCATTTATAATCCTTACCATTGCTGATTAGCAACAGCAGGATACTTCGGGACATACACAGAATGCGACAATGATTTTTTTTTTTTAAACGTTCCCTCATTTGTACCAACAAATTGGGTAAGGATGCACTGGATTTGCTTAGTTGTCTTGAATGTTAAAATTATTTGGAGGAATTCTTTCAAGCCAAATGTCGTTTTAAAAAGGTGAGGTAATAATGACGTAAAAATAAAATTGCCAACTTGATGAAATTAGGGGGGGAAATTAAGCTGTAGACGAGTTGTCATGACGACAAGGATGTTCTATTGATGAACTGTACTCCTCATTGTCCAATCAGATAGTAGAGCTGAAGCTGGAGCATGAACAGGAGAAGACGCACCTATTCCAGCAGCACAACACAGAGAAGGATTGCCTGGTCCGAGATCACGAACGGGAAATTGAAAAACTGGAAAAACAGCTCCGCGCTGCCATGACGGAGCACGAGAATAAAACGCAAGAATGCAGGAAACGAGATGCACAGGTAATGATCAATAACATTTGAAAAGCCGTATGCTTATTAAAAATATATATATAATAATAAGCGTTTCCCGTTTTCCAGCATTGTTGATAATGCACGCTGTTTGATCATTTGCGAAACTGACATATAAATGTGATTTTTTTTTTCTTTTTTCCACCCCCCACCCCCCACTGCTGAATAAAGCTTTAACTGCAAAAACCACAGGTAGCCAGATTAAAAATCCCATGGTGCGCTATAACTCGGCCTCTTATTTATAATCTTGTCTCATTTTCTTTCATGATGGATTTGTTTAAGAAAAAAGGTATCTATTCCCCTCCAACCCCCACACTCACCCCTCCTTTCCTCCTCCCTGGATAAATCCCTATGAAATATATCTAATTCATTCATATGCTTTTTTGTTTAAATCTCTGCAGGTAACCCACAAATTGCTTGTTTTCAAGATCTGACTTTATTTCTCAATAATTTTGTATTCCATGTATTCATTGTGTGTTTGATTGCATATGTCAGATAATCAGTGATAAGATGATTTGGGTTTTGGTTTGCTTCCCATCAGGTTTGCTATTTTCCTACACACACATACGCACCCCTCCCATCCTCCATCTCTATGGTCACTGTTGGAAGCCATTTGGCAGAATAACCCCCAGCTGTGGTAGCATTTGACTCTTCAAACTTATGGATGAAATGTGCACTGTCAGCATGAAAAATGATCTTTATTAGTTTCAGTTCAAAAAATCTTATTGGATGTATGTGGGAGTTTTTCTGTTTATTTTGTGAGGGTGTGTTTATGGGTGTGTGTGTGTATGGTGTATTTTTCTAAGAGTATATGTTATAAAAGGCCTGCAGTGAATACATTTAAAAATACAGGATGATTTCAGAGTAGAACATTTATTTAAATGAACAAAGGGACAATAATTTTTACTTTACTGATCTGCATTAGAATTACTTATCATTAATTGATTATTTTATATCAAAATGGGCGTTTTTGTATGGAAGGTATAACCATCATATGGTCTCCGCGCATCAGCTTCTTCCCCACATGATGTAAGACCCTGACAATAAGTCCTTTTCATTTTAACTTTTGTTAGGATTGCTTATATTTCTTTCTCACCTATACTATATATTGTAACTAAATGAAATTAAGGATTTAATTCTTAATTTCTTTTTTTATATTTGAAAGATTAATTATCCATAGAATCAACTACTGAGTAAATATAAATATACATGATAAACAACAGTCTATGGGGGGAAATATTTTACAGAAACAATATTGATTTATTCCATTTGTACCATTATTGTTTTCCATGTAAAACAGGGAGGGACTCTGTGGGCATGCTCAGTAACAGGAAATTCAGAAGACTGCAGCAGAATTAAACATTATCCTTTTTTCCACTTATTTTGATGATGAATAAAAAACTTAAGTAATTAAAGGAACCAGTCTTTTGGCACTTAACTATATAGTTACTTTGCGAGTATCCCTTTGAAGTCGTATCATTCTCTCAGTTGGACCCCTAACACTGTATTGTCAAGCAGTGGCATTTGTCTGAATACCAAGAAGTTCAGTACTTACTGTGAATACAGGATGTGTTCATATCACTAAGTATAAAAATCAGTTTTATAAATATGCAGGATTGTGTAACGTACCTACAGTAATTCATTACCATTACGCTGTTGTGTGTAGATACGACAGGAATGTAACCCTTGAATAGTAAATTCCGAAAGAATCTTGAGATGTCCTATGTGTTTGTCCTACCTATTTAGTTAGATTGTGGCTCACTCGTGGCAAAGGTTGGCATCATGGAGTTTGGGAGAGCGCGTTATTTAAAATGAAATGCTGATGCTATCACAAGTGATATGTTAAACAATGGAGAGTTGAAATAGTAATGGCAAAAAAAATTAGTCTTTTAAAACTCTTTTTCTTTTGAATATCTCTACAATATGAGCGCTGCTGTCATGGCAGTATTAGTAAAGAGAGAATATACGTTTGCCTTGACTAGGGCAGCTGTTTCTAACAAAAGGAGAAAAATCATCTGTCTGATCATTGTTACCACTTTTAAAGATACATTTATTTAGTTTGGTGAATAAATCAAATGTTAATTTGATAAATGTTAATGCCTTCATCTATAAAATATATAGGTATTTAAAATTTACATTTGACTTTGTAGTGGGGATAATATGTATTTAAAATTACTTCCCAGTGTCTTCAGTGGAATTTTGAATACTGCCATTTATTGTCTTTTTCCGGCACTGCGTTTTTGCTCCCAAAATACATGTTTTTGGACTATTATGGGACTGATGTACAGCATCTTTATGAAACAATTCTAAACTAAGATGCTACAGGGATAAGTAAATTATATGGATATGACTTTTTCATAAAATCGTAAAATGGAATCATATTTGTAGATTGTAATGTCTTTAGTTTCTCTACGTTACTATGAACCTGCTTCAACACAGCAGAAGAGGCCATTTTGTTTAGCTAAACGAAAAGTGCAACTGCTAGATATTTCATATAGTTTTAATAATAATCAGAATATCCAAAAATTGGTAATCTCTTGCATCTTTTGGTCTGGAGAATCTAGCTGTTCCATGATTGCTGGGTTGTGTAAAAGTACCAGTTTTCCTTATGTAAAGCGGCATATTTTTAAAATAGATGCTTTTACCACATTACCAATGACTGACAGTTTGATGGATCTCTGGAAAATAATGTATTCTGCAAAATTACTGAAAAGATTTGTTCTATTTTTATTGCATTTCCAAGGTATCCAAGTTCAGTCAGATCTTCAGCTATGGTGAAAGATACTGTACAAAATAGAGGGACAATTTTAGATGTGAATCTATATTAACACTTCACTGGTCAATAAAAAGTGTTGTCTCCCGAATTAGTTAAGATTTTAGGTGGGTCTATAGATTCTAATTAAGAAGAAAATTACAACTTTTGGTTCTTGTATTATAAATTCAGCATGGTATTAGGTAAAGCATATTGATTTAAAGGGATAGCATGTTTTATATTGTTGGTCAGTTACTTTCATTTTTATGTGGCATTTACATTCCATTTTAGTACTCAAATAATATCTTTTCAAAAGGGTTTCTTTGCTTTTATCACCTAAGGTTGTCATGTTTGAGGAGGAGTAAAATGACATATGGGTCAATAAAAGTCAAAAGAGCCTGAAGGCTTGTGTACCATACTGTGTTCTTATAATCTTTTTCTTTAAATCCTGTATTTTCTGTGAGCTGCAAAAAATGTTGTTGTTGTTAAAATAATGCTTTCCCTTAAAATATAGAACTTTAGATTTAAAAAGTATATATAATTTTAAATCCAAAGTTCTATATTTTTAAGGGAAAACATTATAATACATATATTTCATTAAAATTGTGTTTTTAGTTTAGCATTTCAATTTTATCTTTGATTCTGGATATTGTTCAGAATTTCCTTACAGATACCGTAAGTAAATTTTCCAAAATGTGGTTTATTGTTCATTTAAAAAAAATATTCAGTGTATATTTTCTTTCACAACACATTGTATTAATTCTTGGTAGAAAATGAGATTTTCAGAAACAAAACTCTTCTGATAGTAGAAAATAATAAATCATATTTCATAGAAACAAGTTGTTTCTAAAAAAGGAAATATTCTACGCTATCTTCTGCCTCAGTAGGCTAGATTGGATAATGAGGTTAGGAATCTTAATATCTAGTCCCAACCAAGCTACCATAGATATACCAACTGCACAATCTTCTTTGATCAAATTGTCACCCTTTCCCCAGCTTATGACATATACCCTTACCATCTCTAACATTGCAGAGTTCCAGCTGCTGTATAAAGTTATATACTTTTAATGCTTGTTCCTTGGCTGTTTGACCTTTTGGGTAGGGAGAAAAGGAACACCCCCACTTAACTTCAAACTGAATGCTTTGCTTTACTGTCATGTTGTGAAAAAGGGAGCTGAGGAAACTGAAGTCTTTTTCCACTTTCGGTTGCCAGGTGATAATGTGCAGGTCCACCATTTTCTTCCATTTGTAACTGGGTCAAGAATAATTTAAACACTGAAGCACAATTCATCACCATTTGTCACTGTAATATTAACTTAAACACAATAAAATAGTATATTAAAATTATTCAAAACATTGGGTTGCAATAAAATAAATGTAGCCATAATTTAGAGGTTTGTTAGTCTCCAGCCCATCAGTTGCCAGGAAAAAAGAATAACAGATTAGTTCTGTAGGTGTGCAAGTCTAAACACAGCATATATGAAAGACATCATAAAAGCAGAAATGGGCTAGGGTGGGTAGGAAGAATGACTAAGGTATTTCACTTCTGCCTAAATCTCGGTTTCTACGTCTTCCCACTCCCTCTGTTGCTTTCTGCACTTTTCCCAATGCCTGTCCTTACTCCTCCCTTTGTCCCATTTTGCCATTTGCAGATTTACAAGGCCTTCTGTGGTGCCCCCCTACGTATGGGGCAGCCTCTTGTCTTCTGAGCTCTCTCTCTGTTTCTTTCCTTTAAAGCCACTTCTCCCCTAAATTCTTCCTACATTGGACTCCGAACAAATGATCTTTCAACTCTCTCCCACACTGAAACTGTTGCTCTGCATTTATTTTTTTCCGAGTTAGACTGTATGTTGTTTGAGCCTGACAACGTGATTATTTTATGTCTAATAAAATGCTGCTTAAGTTTAGGGTGCTGTATAAATAATAACAACTTAAATAAAGGACACCCCTCCCCCCAAAATATTGTCTCTTCCAATGTATGCAGCCTTCCTGAAATAACATTATTATATGATGAAGGCCTTTTATCAGCTAGAGAAAAGGTAAAAAAATTCTGTTTTGTAGCCTTTTTGTTGTTGTTGTTAAAAAACAAAACTATATGAACATATATATGAATAGACTGATAACTCTCCGGTGCTATAGTAGTAATCCCTTAAGTATAAGAACCAGATGTATACTTCAAATGAAGAAGAAAAGATGTGAGAGAGTCTCATGCTGTAAACCAGGGGTTCTCAGACTTTGG